TTTCTGCTCAGACTGGAGCACCTGCCGGCCCTCAGTTGAGATTTGGGCCCCTCCCTGGCCTAGCCTCTGCAGGGTCCCTGGGAACCCGCTTCTGCCTCCTTCCCCAGAGCTGGGCACCGGCCCTGACTTGGCTTCCCTCTGTGGGGTCTCTCACCCGTGGGGATGGACCTGGGCTGCACCTCCTAACCCGGAGACGCACAACCAGTCAAGAGCGGCTGAAGAGAAGGGCGCTGCTGCAGTGTTACCTGCGTGTACTGAGGCCCAGGAAGGAGGGACAAGAGCTGCAGATCCAGGCGATTTGGACGGCTGCTATCAGGGGACTGACAAGGTCTTAAATTCCTCATAGTTTCTGGGAGCTGCCCACAGGGAATAAACAGTACCAGGAGAGCAGGAGCCCTTGCTGACATCCTAAGTTCATGGAGAACACAACTCACCCTGCAGCTGCTGGCCTCTGTATGCCAACTTTTGAGACACCCCCACCCCCTACTGAACCACAAAAACCAGGATTTGCGGAGTGCCCACAAGGTCAGCTGGACTGGGTTGACCACTAATTTCCAACTGAGGGAACCACTAATTAAACAAGGCCCTAATGACCAGGTTAAAGTGTAACAGGAATGAAAATGCTGAAGGCTGAATCCTTCCTTTCCCACAGCTTCAGGTACTGAGACCCCAAACTGAAACCCTGGAGTTGATGGGTCAGAGCCCAGGGAACCGGGGTTCCTCTGAGACCCAAGTGGGGTGACAGGTGGAAAGTCCCATTTGGTCACTCACCCACAGAATGAGCCACATGACTGCAGCTGAGACATGACTTGAATATCCCGGCCCTAATCTAGTTTCATCAGGACAGAAAATGACAGCTTCTACCTCGCAGTGCCTTGAGATTTCTGATAAAAAGATCAAATTCTGCCAAGGAGCCAGAATTTTTGAAAAGCTCAGGAGGCAGGCTCTTAGGAACGCATGTCCTTTCACAGGCAATCAGGCTGAATGGAGAAAATTTCCAAAAAAGCTTCTCTCCCTACAGTGAGTTATCACAGGTGAGGCCTGGGCAAGGAACTCCCTGTCACCCCTGGGATGGCCACTACAGCCACTGCTGGAACAGAAGATGGTGGCAGTCTGTCCCCAAAATTCACACCAAAATCCTTACCCTCAAGGTGATGGTATCAAGTGAGGCCTTGGGACACAGGAGGGTTCTGCCCCTTGTGAGTGAGGTTGGTGCCCTTAGAGAAGGGACCTCTGAGAGGTCCCCCCACAAACTAACACAGGGAGAAGACAGTCTCCCCGTCACCAATCCTGCAATGCCTTTGTATCCCACTTGCAGCCTGCAGAACTGTGGGAAACAGACTGGGTCATAACCACTCAGTTCACAGCACTGTCACAGCTGCATGAACTGAGCAAGAAACTGTAACCCACTGCCCACAAAGGTCTCCCCTGAGCAGGGAGTTTGATGGA